GCAAACGCTTTAAACACACAGCGATGTAACGCACGGTCTAAAAATCAGAATGAAGAGTCTCACATTTTTTTAATCCATGTTTTAAATGGTAAACTGCATCCATGATTATTTTTTTCCAGACACCTAAAACTAAATTGTGATCCACAGTGGTTAAAACTACTAAACAGCGCATCTCACGGTATATAAATAGAAAGTTTATATACATTCAAAATCAATAATTTAACAAAGTGGCACAACCAATAAACGATCGCACATTCCAACTCACTTGTCAGATTCCTGCCAGCTTGCTTGGAACACCTGGCTGCAGTGCTGAACCAACTAAGTGATTGGCAATTGCATACACAAGTGCTGTTTGGCTTTACAGTGCCAACACAATCATTCCTTATTACCTTCAAGGATTGGATCTCATCTATATTTATTAATTTTTGGGGGAATTTTTTTTTCTCCCAATTTATTTTATTAATAAATCTACATTTCAAGGATGGAATCAAAAGCACCTGAAATAATTGTACATTTTGTATCGGCCTTGCAAACGGCTAACCCCCCCCTCCCCCCGCCTGTTTAGATTTAATTTACATTGTGGTTGCTCATTAGTCATGATGGTTATTTCTAAATTTATGCTAATACATTGCTTGTGTGCATCCCTGAATGGTGCTGCAATTCCTGGAGCCGTATGGCACAGATGCTGCCTGCAAGGTCGCGCTTGTCATGCAGAGTGTGCGGGCAGACGCCCCGCCTGGCACACCACCATCACGGCACCCCCAGGGGATCGTTGGGTCAATTGTGAAGCTTCGAGTCGCTCGCAGAAATCTTCACATTTATGAACGCGTTTGTGTCGGATTCAGACACGGTGACGTGGAGATGGTGCGAAAGGGCGCGCACACACACACACGCAAATATGAACACATTCGTAAAATAACGCTGCGTGGCCTTTACAGGAAGAATGTATGACGGGAGACGTTATAGGCAATGGCCCTTCATGGCACATACCCACGTGTGTGCTCTGGAGAAGAGACATTGCTTGAACGCGCGTTTCGTTTTTTTGTTACATTGCCAGATGACAATTTTAAAACGACGCGTGCATTATATATTGCATGGACGTATATTGTTGGTGACATTTTTAATGAAGCCTTTTTATAGAACATGAAGCAAGATACATAAATGTCAAAAACTCTTTAACTCGAGAAAAATGTTTCCCCCCCCCCCCACCTCCCCGAGAGAATGCGAGCGAGCGTGTTGGTCGACGAAGTCTGCAGAGCCTCTCTTGCCTCCTTGCGGCACGCGCGGCGAGACGAACGCAAACCCAGTTCCATGCCGTTTTCACTCCGTCCGCCGGACCGTGACCACCAACAATTTGCCGAGACTCCGCGGACGCAAACGGTCGATAGCGATACAAATGCAATGGGGCTATCACCGCTATAGGATTAGCACTGGAGGAAGAGTCTTTTGGACGACAAAAGAAATTCTTAATAACCCAAGATGCAACTGCTGAAGCCGTGTCGAGCGCCCAGGGGCTTGTTTGTTTGACAGCGGAGTGATATTGAAAACCAACTTTTCTCTTGAATGTTCTCGCTCAACGCCAGATCCATGGAGGAGCTTTCCCGTCTGGGAGTGACTCAAAGTGGCGATTGATCACACAGCAATCAAGAATGCTTTAACAAACGTATGAAGCTGCGTTTCCTCTCAACTCCGGAGCTCTTGTGAGCAATATGTTGGCTATTTTAGTGAATATTTATATGATCGGTTTTAAAAGGTTTCGATACATGTTTTGTTCTTGGAAGTCTCTTTCCAACTACTGAAGAGTTTTAGGCTTTGGTTTGTGGTGAGTATGCATTCGGCGAAGAAAAATAATAATATTAATGAAAAACATTTTGAATTGTTAATTCAAAAATCAGCGCTGGCATGAAAAAAATATAAAATCTGTAAATTATGCTATTTAATGAGATGCAACCGAACTCTGTCAACAAATTAACGATAAACAAACGGGGCTTCCGCGGCCAGAAAAAACCCCATACATAATTCATGACGCATTTTACAACAGAATATTCGCGTACGCAGAGCACAGTTAAAGCGACTGCAGAGCATCAGACATCTGTTGAGAATAGACTCCCGCTGATAAAAAAAAAAACTAATTGGGAAGTAAATTAGAGTGGCAACCAATCTTCGGGTGTTTCATCATAAGCTCAGGAATTGTTTTACGTGTGTGTGTAGAACACATAGCGGGCAATATCCAGGCTTACCAATGAAGCGTGCCCAGGCCTGAGCGTGAATGGCACTCAACCTGCACTCGGCCTTGCAGAGTGCAGGTTGAGGCCTTTCGACGACGTTCAGTGTGGGCGGGGCCCCGCGTCTGAGGCTTCTGAGCACGAGGGACGACTGTGCGTGCACTGGAATCTGAAGCCGCTGCTTCAGTAGAAATGCACCTCGAACGCCACTCGCTCGACGGCGGTGGCGCGTGCGGAACATCTTTTGCAAAAGCCCGTGGCGATGTTTATTGCCCCAGAGTTCAGTCTTCGTGCACACAAAGACCCCCACACCGCCCGACTTTATCATCTTTCGACAGGCCGTTTGGACGAGTTCTGTCAGCGAGCGCCTACAAATGCCCGGCATGACAGCAGCGCTGTCATGCCGGGATCTCGGGGAGGGCCAAGGACCAGGTGACGATATCCGTCACCGATGTTGGCCACGGGCAGGATTCGAACTCGAGTGGCTGGGTTCTCAGTGCGCTGCGCTAACCGCCACGCTACCGCTCCCCACGCTATGCGCGGTCGCACAGCACGAAGCGATGCACAACTCACACGCACCCGCGCCTTCTCAGGCGCTTGCTGGCACTCGATGCATCTGCTGCTGCTCGTCATTCTTGCTCAATGGCTGTCAACCTGTCCACATTCCCATGCCTGTGGAGCCAATGGATGAAAAAGCGATCCAAGTCTTGCATGCCACGTCTTACATACTCGAGTGGTAAACATTTTGCCCAAATGCACAAGAGTGGCCATTATGGACCGTAGAGCAATGGCTAGAGCACGGGTTAGGCTAAGACTAGTGAATTGATTGCACTATGTATGTCTATATATATTCAGATGGTACACGGTTGGCTACGTACGCTGCACATTGCAGGAGCTCTTCACCACAAAGTGTCAGAGCAGCTCGTAAAGCTGGGCTGGGGGAGCTGTGAGCAACGCTGCTCTGACCTCTCTGGCGAGCTTAACTTGTTCAGCTAATAAGGGTGAGGCAAGGTGAGGGAATATGATCGGCAGGCGGTCCGCCCATGCCGAGCCGTGCAGGCAGCGGCATGGGCGCCCGTCCGAGATGCACGCACCTCGTGCCATCTGCCTAGAAATCTGTCCTGGCAAAACTGCCCCAGAGACAACATTTGGAATTATAATGAAATAAATTCACAGCCTTTTGTCAACCCACTGCTGTGTCGCTTGTTGGGGGTGTTGTTTGGCCATGCTTCACCACGCCCATCAGCGCGGGTTTGTGCAGCACTGGCACGGGACCGACTGAGACACCATCGATGTTAGCCTTGGCCAGGAATCGAACTCGGGTCCCCGGGTTCGTAGTGCGGCGCTAGCCACCACGCCAACCGCCCGGTAGCCCTCGTAGGCTGAAATTGATGTCACTGCAATCAAAGTCGACGTCTTCTTGGCAACCTCACTCGCTTTGTTTACAATTCCATTTTCGCACGTCCATTTGTCGATGCGTATCCCGTTGCATTTCTCCGTGGCGTCTCGCCGAGCGACGAACCTCTGCGGTCTCTCTCTCTCTCTCTCATGTTTGTCTTGCTTCCTCCTCCCTTTCCATGCTTTCCTGCTTTGATATTCCAGGACAATTCCTCCGCCACACCGCCCTCGTCGCGCCTGCGCGAGCGTCGTCACGCAGGCGTCCGGTAACCCGCTTGGGGGAATTGGGGAAAGAAAACAAATATAAATAATAATAATAATTCTAACGATCGTCTTGCAGCTTGGCCGGGTCTCGTGGGCCCCAGGGCCAGGCGGCCGCGTGCTTGCCGCGTGTGCCCGCCCGCACGCCTCCGCGCTGCCCATCACCACGGGACCTGGTGGCCACCCTCGCGTCACAGCGAAGAGTGCAGTTGTTGTTGCTGTTTAGCAAATGATGAGCAAAGGATTACTGCCATGTATTCAATTAGGCGTGTGTATAACCTTCTTTCAAAATAATAATCACGCAGTGTAAAGTATTTGAGGTGCATATTTATTGAATTGTGTGCAGCGGTGGTGCAGTGGTTCGTGCACTTCCTGCACTGACTAGGGTGGTGTAGTTTGATAAATGTACCCCCATGACCAACACTGCTTTGGAAGGCATTCATGCAGCAGTGGATTGAGAAAGGGATACAACTTATGTATTATTATTGTCATGATTCGATGTTTTCTGATGTGGATGCAGCACGAATAAGCAGAGGCATGGAGTGGAAGTGGCAACCTGCGCCTGGGCAGGTGCTGTCACGCAGCAGTGCCCTCGCCTCGTGCCACGTGACGCCCGCCTTGTGCCACGTGACCCTCGCCTCGTGCCACGTGACCCTCGCCTCGTGCCACGTGACCCTCGCCTCGTGCCACGTGACCCTCGCCTCGTGCCACGTGACCCTCACCTCGTGCCACGTGACCCTCACCTCGTGCCACGTGACGCCCTCCCGTGGCTGTCACCACGTGGCTCGCGTCATTCTCCACAATAACGCGAATGATCAGTTTCATTAAAGTAATCGGATTATTCTTCTGGTGATCGGTCCGATTACTCAACTCAACACGTAAGAAAATAATTGGGGGGGGGGGGGGGACATCAAGTTCCACCTCTGCTTCCATGCGTGACGCTGGATGGACGGTAATGGCCGGAGCTCAGTGACGTAATTGGCATTACTGGCAGCATCACGCCCCTACAGCACTCGCCCCTACGGAACGCGCCCCTACACAGGCCCCACGCACCTTCATCGGCAAGGCAACGACGATGTACGGGCGCGCGATGGGAGGGGCCGTAGCGGCACGCACCTGCACGCGGGTGATGTACGTGGGCTTGTTCATGATGATCCAGGTGACGGTCTCGTGGCACGGCGGCGTGGTGAGTGAGCCGTCGTACGTGATGTAGCTCTGCGTCTCGGGGTAGACGTCCTCCACCGAGAGCTCGCGCAGCAGGTACGCGTCGTCTGCACCACCCACAGGTCAATCAACTCTCAACGCGTCAACAAAAAGTTGCGTTTTCAAAAACATTCACATTAAGTGGCAAAGCACGAGCGGTGTTCTTGCGTTCAATTATCACGCCACCCGTCTCCGCATGCAAATTAGCGCAGCCTTCTGCTTGTACATTTTCTTTTTTAAATAAAATAAATGCCCACCGAGACTGCGTCAAACTTTGTACAACACGCAAACAGTGCGCGTGGAGCAAAGTGGTGTTGACCCAAGGCGACTTCGCGCGTCCTCCTCTGCGCTCAAACACCGGCACGCACGCCGACTGAACTTTGCCACAAACGGAATGCTCCCTTTCACAACGTACGGCATGACAAACTTCAACATATACACATACATACGTAATCGTTTTAGATCACAGTTGCAATTGTTTGTGATGGCCCACACAATTCCGTTTTTAAAACGGATTAAAGCTCCAATTACACTCTCCGCTGAAAGTTTGCAACGTCCATCAAAACTGCTGCGAGGATGAACGTCGAGGTGGTGGATCGGAGCGTGCAGCGTCACCGATTGTTCACTTTGACAGCGCGAAACGAGAACTCCGTCAAGAGTTAAGCGGCACCGCAGGAGACTCGGTTCATTGCAACACACGCACCCCCAGCAGCACACATGCACCCCCAGCAGCACACACGCACCCCCAGCAGCACACACGCACCCCCAGCAGCACATACGCACCCCCAGTAACACACACGCACCCCCAGCAGCACACACGCACCCCCAGCAGCACACACGCACCCCCAGTAGCACACACGCACCCCCAGCAGCACACACGCACCCCCAGCAGCACACATGCACCCCCAGTAACACACACGCACCCCCAGCAGCACATACGCACCCCCAGTAGCACACACGCACCCCCAGTAGCACACACGCACCCCCAGCAGCACACACGCACCCCCAGCAGCACACATGCACCCCTAGCAGCACACACGCACCCCCAGCAGCACACACGCACCCCCAGTAGCACACACGCACCCCCAGCAGCACACACGCACCCCCAGCAGCACACGCGCACCTCCAGTAGCACACACGCACCCCCAGTAGCACACACGCACCCCCCAGCAGCACATACGCACCCCCAGTAGCACACACGCACCACCCAGCAGCACACACGCACCTCCAGTAGCACACACGCACCCCCAGTAGCACACACGCGCCCCCAGTAGCACACACGCACACACAGCAGCACACACGCACACCCAGCAGAACACACGCACCCCAGCAGCACACACGAACCACCCAGCAGTACACACGCACACACAGCAGTACACACGCACCCCCAGTAGCACCCACGCCCCCCCAGTAGCACACACGCACACACAGCAGCACACACGCACCCTCGGCAGCACGTACACACAGCAGCACACACGATGATCCTCCAGTAACTGAATTGCATTAACATTGGCTGCTGACATTTGGGTTACGCCCATTTCAAACCCTTATAAAGTTTGCCTTTGGAAGCGAACCGCTTGTGTTGCGATCAAAACGTCGTAGTTTATTTATTTATTTGTTTTCTTTGAACCTATCTACGTGACTTTACCGAAAGACCCAAAGAATATGAATGCCTGCGGTCACGAAAGCTTTAAGTTAAGAAATTACCCAGAGTGCCAGAAATGCCCCTGAAGGCAAACAACTCCTCACAACGTCTCGGCAACTGCGCGGGTTGCTGCGAGCGGCCACGCACTGGCTCCGCTCGCCCTCCCCGCACTTGCACGAGCATCGTTTTAATTAAAACTGCTCCTCTTCTCAGGGGTTAGTAAATAATAATGAAATAACGCCACAAAACCCCCCAAGGCTTAACCATATTTTAACAGTCAATTCTTTTCACGGAAATGATCTACTGTACATATTTTTGGAACTTTCTTCTGAGAGGGGCGGCAGAGAGACAGGGTGACGGCGTGTGTGGAGTCGCCCATCTGCGCTCGCCACCTGGCAAATCATTTTGCAAATTGTCAACAAGGCATCTTGAGAAGCCATGCAAACATTTGGCTTTGTTCTCGACCGTGGGCGTTGACAGAATTCGAGGCACCGACTTGGATTGCGCCTCGCGGCTTGCAGATCCTGTGGCCACGAGCGCAGCAACTCACTGCGGACGGCACGCGTGCCTCACGAATCACCAGCGCGGCGGGAGTTAGCGGACCACGAGGCAAAGAGGCGAGATGATTGGGAACTGGCTGGGAGAGAACAACTCTTGCAAGCGGGGCCGCATGTACGGTGGATTGTAAGCGGCACTCACTGTGCCCTTCCCCTGCAGCAACAACATCGTCAGCCCCGGACCGCCACCGATGCCACAGTCAATGTCGCTCGTGCGCGCGAGCCCATCGCTCGCTCCGTCTCTGTGGCGGTCGTTCCGTTCCTGTCACCACCTCCGTCGCCAATCTCGGCTATCCGCCGCGTTCGCCGTTGAGCCGTTTCCGAGCCAACCCCTTCGCCGTTCCCAACATTCAGCGGGCGACCCCTCGCTTGCTCGCATTGTTCCCCGATCCGTGCGCCCCTCCCCTCCGTTCCTGGGTGGAATTCCCAGCGTGCATCTCTCCACACTCACGTCGTCGACTCGCCAGCGTTTTATTCAGTTTTTATCCGTCGCCGACGTCTGTGGTTCTGAACCATATTCCTCGTCCGGGGCTGCGTGTCCTGATCAAGGCAGATGCTCCGTTGCTTTTCTTGATCAACGTCAGTTTTACAAAAGCACCCAGCCGCTCTCACGCGCCTCTTTAGTTCATCATGCATGATGAATGCAACCGTTACACAAAATGAGATACACATACGCTTATGCTTGGACGTAATTTTGCTAATATTCACAAAGTGCAGAGAGAGCCTCAACCTTGTTTAGAAAGACTAATTGTAAATTTGTGTATTTAGTAATTTTCCGGAACATAAAAAACAAATTGCAACATACATTAAACTCAACAGAATTTTTCATAGCCTTCAGCTGCAATGACTGTATCACACCGAGAGAAAAGCAAGCTTCTGTCTGCGACCTTCCCCGTGCGTTTCTCAATCCATATTTAACGCGAGCCCTCTGAATTATTCACCTCCATCTCCTCGGTGGCCCATCCACCGTGATGAGCTACAGCAAAGCTGTAGCTCAAGGTAGCTGCTGGTGATCCTCCTATAACAGCCACCCCCACGCTCACAATCGTCACAGCCATCTCCTGCTGCTCACATGAGCGGCGAAGACAGCCCAGAGCCAGCCGTGGGAAATCCACATTCCTACAAAGCGCTACGCATGCTATCGGCGCCAGCCGGTCGATAGGATGAGTCAACCCCCCCCTCGACCAGGATGTGAACTCGCAACCTACTTGATTGCGGGCCGCTCGCTCTGCCGCCCCGCCCGCCTGCGCTAGGCGGGCGGGGCGGTGAATTGGCGGATCCGTGACGGTCAGACACGCGACGCTGGGACGCTGTACCGCACCGGCGAATTATGTCGTCAAGCGGGGGATGAGTGGACGCGGGGTCGTGCGTGTGCGATCGGCTTACTCTTGTACGTGATCCTCGTGATAGTGTCTCGGTTCAGGAGTTTATCCAGAAACTGATTTGGAGATTCTGACACCTGCAACAGAAACAGACAATACGACTGCATCTCACAAGCACACTCGCTCGCACGGGCGCGGCCAATAAGCGGCGACTAAAGACAGCACGTGTCATCATTGTTCACGGCACCTTCCAAGTGTCAGTGGGGTTATTGACACGGCTAGTTGGGTGTCACAATTAATATTGATTCTTGAGCTCGCGATACAATCATTGAATATCATGGGTAAGAATTAATGTTTGTTGACTTGTGCCTGTCGTATTTGACCCCCGCACCCACTAGAGGCGTAACACGCACGGGTAATATAATGACATTAAACTAAAGAAACCGTTGTTGCATCTGTCTCAACCGGAGTAAATCTATTCTGTCTGGGGCTCGAAGTTGACCATTTACTTGTAGAGAAAAATGCGCAGACGGTAAGCCCCCCTCTCTCCCTAATTATATATTTATATACAACCCCAACTCAAGGAGGGGGGCGTCGGTGACGTCACCACGCCGCCCAGCTGTGTGGTGAGCCCCCCCCTCCCGCGCCAGGTGCGTGACTGCCGGCATTGGCCACCAACACCCCCCAGTGTTGCATAAACACGACCCGCAAATGACTCGGTTGGGACTACGCACGCGGGGGGACATCGCCCCCCCGCCCCCGCCGACTGCGGAAACTTGGCAGGACCCTCCTGATAAAACGGAAAGCGTCTTGAGACTTTGCGAGGCTTTGCTGGGTTAAGAAGCGTGGTGCTGGTGATTGTAAAACGACCTCCGGCCTTCGGGGGCGAACAACGCCGATCGAAGTGCAGCCGGCGACCCGCGGACGCGCGGCATCGACATCCAACCCCGCGGTGGGCCACGTGACGCGGGCAGCCCCGCAAGGCCACGGGCACCCAACCAACCTTGATGAATATGGAGACGGCGACCAGTCCGTTGGGGTTCCGCGCAGCCTCCGACGCGTTGGGATACAACTCGTGGTTGTAATGGATGAGCTGAACCTGCCGAGTAATGAGACGTGACGTGCGGGAGGCATCAACAACAACAACAACAACGACGACGACAACAACAACGCCACGGATCTATAAAAGGTCCTCGGTAAATGTCAGCCCTTGCTTGGCTGCGGGACGCTGGGGGTGAGTGACGCGAGCGGTGGTCTCGTCTCGTTGCCCGCAATCGTCCCCGTCCCTCTTCGATGGCCGAGACTCACGAGAGCGGCTCGCATGCTGGCACCCAACTCCCCCCCCCCACGCCAGTTACGGGAATTTTGTGGGGCAGGGGGGGGGGTCATTTTCAATCAAGAAACCCACTCTTTTGTCCGGTCTCGTTTGCATTGTCTTCACCCCCCCCCACACACCCCTTCCCCCACCATCTCATGTGTATACTCCTGGCCTCCGTGCCACGTTCGTCTATAAAGGGTCACATTTGGATCTCATTTTCACAAATTGCACGTGATCAACCCTCGCGAGAATTGCGTCCTGTGCCGAAATCGCCAAATCTCGTCACGTCACAGAAGCCGAGCCGGGGTTGAGCCTGGAGAGGGTTTGGATGGGCGACCGCCGTGTGGCGTACGGGCGGTGCTGCGTTGCAGCAGAATCCATAGTTATACTATACTACGCTTCCAGCGTCTATGGCTCTCCACCTGCACCAAACCACACCAACCGGCGCAGTCAAACGACCCAAACAAGCCGCCCGGCTTATCTGAGTCGCAAGGGGATTTTCACTCGAGCCCGCTACACGCCACGTGCACCGCTCGGAAGCCCATCGACGCACGCATAACGAGTGAAAGAATGGGCAACGATCGATGCATCGCAACGTACTGTGGTGCATCATGGGAGAACGGCGAGATAACCCCAACATATAGAACCACAGAGCTTGGGCAATTGTTGGGAGCGCCGCTTCTGTCTGTCTGTCTGTCTGCCTTGCCGCTCGTCTGTGGTTTCGCACGCATCCATGCGCGACAAGCGTGCTCGTTACAAATCCTACCGCAGCATTTTGACATGAAATTTGCATGACTGACACTTAATTAAAATACAGTAAAGTTATCATAAGAGTAGCATTAGCACGGGCTTGATGTAGCGGGAGACGGGGGGATATCTATACACGCAGTTCAGTGTTTCAGCCGATTCATGATTATGTATGTAGTTGGGTTGATAGGCCACAAAGTGGTGACTTGAAATACGGAGGAGGAGGAGGAGGAGGTTGGGGCGGTTGAGGTGTAAAATGCGGAAAGTCGCACCTGGAAGTCCGGAGGGCAACGGCGGGTCAAGGTCGTGCAGACGCGTTAATTTGTGTTATTGCGAACATGCCATGAATATTGCGATTGGTGTCGCCAAAGGCTCTAATTGTGATTGTCGCACAATTGCGGGGTGAATTCACGTCCTCCTTAATTGCGGCGGTAATTTCCCGAGGCCTCGACGTGCGCGCACAGCGGCGCGGAGCGATCGCCGGGCCACGGCGGCGGCGGCGGCGATGCCTCGGTCGCGTTACGGGGACGCCGCTCCTCAATTTGGCCATTCCACGTGAACACGAACGGACGATTGAAAACGATATCATGATCCTCCCGCAATTTTTTTGACGTAACGCTTTTATTACATAAACAACATCGGGTTTATGGCTACGAGCTGACTAAATTATGCATAAATAACCCCCTGGGAGACCATTTAGAGTAATTAAAAAAGACAACTACGCGGGTAAAATGGAATGAACAGCAATAGTTAAAGGTCAGAGGAATGGCCACTGCTGATAATGGCTGTGGGGAAATCGTGGATGAGACACGTTCCGTCAAACGCAAGGCAGGCGGGCGGCAAATGGATTCATCCGTTTAGGCGTTTGTCGAGGATGTGCAGTCCTTTAACGGCGAGGCGATGTGAGACACGAGCAGCTGTCAACACGGGGCGTCAGATTGTGCGGTAAATTGCAGGTGCGACGCAGCCTAATTGCTGACATTCACACGAGAGCATCATCGCGTATGCATTTGCATTTATAGTGCATGATGTACGTTGCTAACGCGCCTTTTAATGATCGCAAGATTTTTTGTTGTCTGCCCCCCCCCCCCGCCCATGCTATGCTGATTGTGCTATCGGCGTCATCATCATCATCATCATCATCGTCGTCGTGAGATAAGGAGATAACACGGAACTGGCTTCTCGAATCCATTCAAGCGGCCTCCTATCCGCACCAAGGGGTAGCACGTTCTCGCTGGCACTGCCAGAGAGAACGACGATCGTCCCTTGACAGTAACTCCGATGTTGTCGGTTCCGGGAGGTGGATTAAGCGCAAACCTCACACCTGTGCAGTCACGAATGGCCGCCGTCACGCCATCGACTCGCTAACCACCGCACCTCCGATTAGCACGGTTGGCTACGTACGGCGCGAAAGAAGTTCAACGTACGGCGCGTGCACTCCTACAACAACACAACACGCCACGGACGAGAGTGAGACGCGCGAGGCGTGTCCGTTCCCGATGGCCGCACCTCTCCGGGGAACGCCTGCCCGTTGAGGAGGTGCTCCGAGCCCTGTCTGTCCTCGCTGCCGAAGTGGATGCGGACCTCCTCCAGGCGGTGGTTGTAGGTCATGGGACCGCCCGACACGTTCACCAGGTGCTCCTTGTCCAGGCGGAGCGAGATGTACTTGCCCGTGTTGTACATGGTGCCGCTGATCTGCACGCGCACGCCGACACACGAGGACGCCGGCTGGGTCGACGACCGCCGAGCGGCGTTCCAGGCGACCCGGCACGTGTCCCACCCCCCCGTGCCACCCCCCCCCCCCCGTGCCACCCCCCCGTGCCACTCCAAGGTAGCAACACCCAGAGTGTATATACATATTACCTTGTAAATATTCAGTTGCTTTCAAGTTATTTAGTGTTAATTTAATCTGTTGGGTGTTAATGACGTGTGAATGTAATTTTAATGTATTAATAATGCGTTGATTAATTATTCGCGGTTCCCTAGGCATTCCCTACGAACGGGAAGGATCTTCTCGAAGTTGCTCCGGCCCTCCAGAGGGTTTCTTTCACCGCCCAGCCACGTGTGACGTTTGCATCTCGATTACGAGCAGAATGACGCGAAAGCACCCTTGAAAAAACATTTCTAGATCCAGGAATCAAGAATAAATTGCACCGCGACGCTTGAAGCTTTGCTTGGCATGGCGGGCCCACGGACGCGCCTCTCACAGTGCACTTTGTGCTAAACAATATGACGCGCTGGAATGTGTTGTTGTTGCAACGCGCTCATTATTGCTGTTAATGATGTGGCGCACCAAGTGAACGCACGCGGCGCAAGGGAAAGTAGCGCACGGCAATGCGCTACTTTATTTACACACAAAAAAACAAACGGAGAATACAATTGCCCCTTGACATTTACCGCCGCCGAATCCACCGCCGAGAGACGGGCGACACGAACCAGGTGCACACAGCGCTCTGCCCCGGCCACACTGGAGGTCGTCCGCACAGCGTTTTATCTTCCACCCACCGATGCCTACGCAGGCAGGGATAAGGGAGGGCCTTCTGGGGCTCTTTCGCGCTCGTTTCTGCGCGCGAGCATCATCATGGATGCCCCCGCGTGCTCTGCTTGCTCGGGGCGGGCGAGAAATTGAGCGAGCGAGTGAGCGTCGACCCACGCGCGCATCCCTCTCGACAGCGAACACGGTTCTTGCAGACAAACATGACTCATGCGATTGCAGCGTGCAGCAATGTGCAGCAGCAGCGTGCAGCAGCGAGCAATAGTAGCGTATAATGGAACACCGCCAATCATGGCAAGTGCAGAGGCACATGCAGCTCATTGCCCAGGACACTGGCGCACAAGCGACTTGGCTTTGAGGCGAGACGCGTGTTTCCCTTTCGTGGCCTGTTGCGCGCATTGCTTGAGCGCCGCTGCTTCTCGCAGGAAATCGTTGCTCTCCAGGTGCGCTACATTCTGTTGGGCGCTGTTGTTACTTGGGAAGCCAACAGCCTGGCGCGTAGCAGCTTGCCGTTGTTTTGTGTTCAAGCTTCTCATATCCCCCCGAACAGACTACTTCGGATGACAATGGTTTTGCTGAGTTGATTTGAACAACAACAACTATAATAAGTAGGCCATGCTAAGGAGCGGCTGGTGTTGTGGCCACGCGCTCTGCAGCTCCGAGCTTCTCTCTTCCCTGTGCAGTGGCAGACAAATGGCGAGCAGCGAACACTCGTGGCCGTGCAGAGGAGAAAGATGACGATTCCTGTTGCTGTTGTTGCTGTTATTATGATTCTTCTTATTTACCCAGGTATTCATCAGCGGGACTCTATTCTCCAGGAGGCTCCTGCCAAGTTGTATCGCTGTGCAGGTTGCTTTGTGCGATCCTCATCGAGTGTTTCGCAGGTAATTATTCGTCATTGGGATGTTTGGCCAACGCCGGTTCACGCCGCGTTGTTGTTGTTTGTGTTCGCTGTGGGATGAACACGGATGAAACCCACGCAGAACAGGGGGAGGAGGGTGGAGAGAGCATCCGTGCATTTAACCGGAGGTGAAATCTTTCCCGAGTTCTCGCCACCGGTTAAACGCGATAACCCCGCCCGCGCAAGATCGACGTTGCCGGTGAAGGAAACGCAATGAGGCTGGCACCGAGCGCCGTGGCTGTTTGCCGGCAGACTCCAGCAGACCGCTGCCAATTTGAATGCCCGCGACGTTTGCCAGCGGCGCGTGCTGCCTGCCCGGCGGCTCACGAGCGAGGATTCTCGGAGTGCGCGCGCGCATTCATTTAAAGGCAAAGCGCTACTCAAGTTTTACAAGCCAATTTAAAGGCTATAATGTAAACACAAACACATACACGCGCGCAGAGGATAAACATCTGGAATTGCTTTGCTGCGCTTAATTGTTGAGGGAACACGAGGCACCACTTCTCGTTAAGGAGAGCGGCGAGGTTTTTACCCTGCGCCTCAATCGGTGCGCGTTAAGCGTTTCCCTTAATCACTCCCACGTCCGGCGCTCTGCCAATGTTCGACAGAGTTTACTGCGATTCCCTCGCAGGGAAGGGGGGAGGGAGGGCTGCTCTTTTGCAGACCGCGCGCGTGCATTCACGTGGCACCTCGCTCCTGCGTGCCCAAGTCCACTCCTCCGCCTTCCTCGCGCCCTGAGCAGAGCGCCACGTACCCGGGAACGACTCGCCGAGTCTCAACACTACTGAGACTCTACTAGACATCCCCATCGGCTTCCTCCAGTATAAATAAATACTTTGATTCTGAAGACTCGTTTTCAGGAGAGACCAGCTGCGTTGGGATGTTGGGCGATTTCCATGACTGAGCGTTTTTCTTTTCAGCCCCGCACCTCCGATTAACACGGCTGGCTATGCACGGTGCGAGAGAAGTTCAACGAACGTACGCACAGCCGGTCGGGGGTGGCCGCACGAACCGGCGATCTAGCAGAGATGTCGCGAAACTCCCTCCCCATGGTCAAAATAGTGTGGGCAGAATAGTGTGGACAGCGTAGCGTGGGCAGCGTAGCGTGGGCAGCGGAGCGTAGGCAGCGTAGCGTGGGCAGCGTAGCGTGGGCAGCGTAGCGTGGGCAGCGGAGCGTAGGCAGCGTAGCGTGGGCAGCGTAGCGTGGGCAGCGTAGCGTGGGCAGCGTAGCGTGGACAGCGTAGCGTGGGCAGCGTAACGTGGGCAGCGTAGCGTGGGCAGCGGAGTGTGGGCAGCGGAGTGTGGGCAGAAATGCTGCCTTGGGGCAGTGATCAGTCCTCGCGATCCAGAGGTCGCTGGTTCGATTCCAGACTCCCAATATTTATACTGGAGGAATCCGATGAGCCAGAAAGCTCTTTTTCACAGATGCCCAGTAGATTGCATCTCCCGGAACGGTGGTGACACACAGGGCAAGTGTATTCAATCTAGCGCCTGTGTGGACCCATCGGTGTTCGTGGTGCGGGTGCCGTAGTTGGCGAGCGGCAGGTCGCACGTGGTGGAGTAAAGTATGGGTGCTTCCACCTCGTCTGGGACGTATGGACAGCGTGGAAGAGTAGGCCAAATACCCTCTTCTAGAGGGGCTCTATAGAGCTCCCTCCAGTGAAGAACCTTCCACCTGTAGTGGCGTGAGCAGGAAATTGCAGCTTCACCTTTGTATACACGATTTAGAGACTGGAAGATTCCACTCCACTCGGAAATGGGAGAGGAATTTTGTACGTTTCCGGGCGCTGGCCAGGCTCGGCGCCTGATCCCGGCGATCCCTCGTAGGTCACTAGGTCAAGCCGCACGTTTTAATCGCGGAATGAGAAACTGTACACTTTGTTGCCAGACGCGGACAGAGATCCACGACACACAGAGCGCCTCGTAAAATCCGCGTGTCCACAAGACGGAGGCCGCCAGTGAACGAGTTAAACGCACGCGCCTCGTGTCAACACGAGCGCCCGCGTTTACACGGCAAACACGGACTTAATTCAAGCTAACTGCGCAGCTAAAACATTCGATAGCGTGCTTCATCGAGCGGAACTCATGGGCCTCTTCGGAAGGGGAGGAGGCTTGCAGACAGCAAATTGCAAAGAGATGTGCCCCAGCATGGCCATTCTATCAGCAACAGCAGTCTTCTGCAACACGCGACTGATATTGTGGTAACAAAAAGGAAAACTCAACGCATTTGTCAATAACACCGTGCGGCCTTAAAATACAATTTTAAAGTCATAGGCGACGTTTCGGCGATGGTCCTTTTTAATAGCACATTCCCAGGCATGGCTAACATCAGTGACGACTGATATCTGAACCAGCCCACACCGACTAGGGTGGTGAAGTATGGTTAAGCAACGGTCGTGACCAACAACACAGCAAGGGGCGGAGGCCTTCATCCACCAGTGTTGACAAAGGGCTGGAAACAGTAATAATAATACAACGTTATTTCAAGAATCGCATAATTGAACGCAGCCTAGAAAACCCTGAACGTTGCACCACTCACACAGTAATAAAGCAGGGCAGTGTCACGCACACAAATGGAGGGTTGCACATTTACATACAGAGTACGGTGGAGTATTTGTAAATGTTCACATTAAAAAGGCTACACTCCATCATACTGCAGACAATGCAATAGAGAATGAAATATAAAGCAATGAAAGAAAAGAATGCCTGTCGATACATTTCCAGCGTCGTTTTCTCTCCGTTTTTCACGCCCTTTCAGAAACGCGCACGGCGAGAAACGCCACCGAAGCAGCGAGCGAGCGACCCGCACCGGAGATTAGTGCGGCCAATAAAACCCCGACGACCGGTGGCCGGCATGACGACGCGATGCATCAACATCCATCCGTATCTCGAGACCAGCTCGAGCCGCCCGTAAATCACGTGGCTGGTGTGTGGCCACCCCCACTGAGAGCCCCTCCCGCCTTCCCGCCGCCCAGTGTGAGGACAGATGCCGCTGCTACTCCGTGGAGCAGCAGCGGCAGCAGCGTCGAGGTGCTGATGTGGCCTCCTCCTCCTCCCTCTCCCCCTCCCCTCCTGACCTCTTGCTCCCGTTTCTCCATTCATTCTCCATCCGTCTCCTCTCATTTCCCATTCTTTTTTCTTCTCTCTTCCCTTTCCCGTTCCCTTCTCTGTTGCAATTCATCTCGAACATTTGACGTTCCTCCCCCTCTTCCCACCACTACCCAAACAGAGGGAGACGCGGTCTAAATAAGATGGGGTGGCTCCAAAAGTGAGAGGCGTGGAGCCACAATAGGAATATGT